TATATATATATATATATATATATATATATATATATATATATATATACGTATCATTGTATTGATACGTATATGTTTCGAATAGGACGTTTAGTCTATCGAAAACATTTAACGAGTTTTCAGCTTTAGAATTTTATAAATTACGTATTATGTGTAGATATTAGCGTTTAAAAAAAAAAAAAGACTTAAACGCCTAGGTAAATACTGAAACGATTGTACGTGTTAGAAAAATCGAAAACACGAGGCAGAATGCTTTCCTAGTTTGAAACATTGCAGCTTTCTTAGCACGTACTGATTTCGAAAGATTTGTCTTTCCACAAATTGCTCACGCGATTACGCTTACATTCTTAAGGTTTTTTTTTTTTTTTTTTTTCGTAGTTATCGTCCTTTTCTTTCTTGATTTAAGTATATAGTTCTCGGCAGATGGGTTTAAAGCTTACAATGTAATGTTAATCGATACCAGCAACGGCATTTTTGCTCATTTTTTTTTTTTTTTAAAGATAATTTGCGTGAATCCTATGCGTAACGATAATTTATTTATCTCCGTTTAATTTTACGATGTACGTATCTCATTTGTGCATATTGAATTATTACCGTAACCAAAACGTAATAATGTAATATATTTTTGTGTATACATCGCGATTGTTTTCGTATAAGTATTTATATATATATATACACACACACACTGATGCCAAGTTGCACTTTCGAAGCGTAAAATGAAATAACAAAGCTGGTACGTATTAGACTTAAGTTGTTACTTATAGGGCAATTTCAATGTATACATAATTCGCTGTATTTTAAATGAAAAATGTAAAAATCGAATTGTAAAACGTTGTAACGTTAGATGAATACGCAAAGAGGCAAAAACACAATCGGTGTGTATCGTTGTTCAAGCGTCTTTTTTCATTCGAGGGAGCCGCATTATAGACCCACCGATATAGATTGCAAAGAATTAGTTTCTTCGGTTCGTGTCTTCCTACAGCACTACGTAATTTTTAAGTGCGAATTTAATTGCAATTCAATTGCTTAGAACAACTCTAAGTTGTT